GAGTATGAAGCTGAGATGATGTGGGTCCTGGAGCTGCTACAACCATCTTGTAGGCATGAGGCATTCTACAGTTTAGATAAGCATTCCAGAGGCCCATGTGTGGAAGGTTGTGACTCTGTTGGGAGGTGGTAGAGCTTCTAGAAGGTGGGGCCCCCCGTGAAAGGAAGTGTAGTCAGTGAGGATGGGCCCTGGAGAGGGCTATGAGGACTCCAGCTCCTCCTCTCTTTTTCTTTCTTTGCTTCCTTGCCACCATCTCACTGCAGGCCCAAAAGCAATGGGACCAAGCAATCGTGGACTGAAACTTCTGAGACCCTGAATCAAAATAACCCTTTCCTCCCTATTGGTTGACTGTCTCAGGAGTTTCGTTGCAGTGATAGAAAGCTGCCTAATGCAAACAGTAAACCTTTAGGAGAAGAGGAACACATAAATTGTGAAGGGGAGCTGACCTGAGCCACAGAGAGAGGTAGAGGACAATGTAACAAGGAGCTGAGCCTCAAGCTGCACTAGAAGCCACCATTAATTCTGAACTTCACTGACAAGCCAATAAATTCCTTCTCTGCCTCAATGGTTTGGGTTTGTTCTTTTTGTCCCTTATTAAAAGCATTGTGTATCAGTTGTCTGTGACCACAGTTCAGCTGTGTAACAAACAGCCTCATAACTCTGGGGCTTAAGTTAACTGAGATCGTGAGCTTAGATCAGCATGAAGGCCAGACCTGACCTAGCAGCTCTCGTGTCAGATGGGCTACCACACACTCAAGTCAGCTGGCTGCACCTTAAAGCCACCAGGATTGGTGGTAGTGTTGGCATTTTGCCTCTAGAAGCTCTTTGTATTCAGAACGGGTGCTTGAAAAGTGGCTTGTGATACTGCTGGAGGGTTAGGCTGCCATTGCTATGGAAGAACAGGGTTGCAAGGAATTAGGGGTGCAAGAGAGAAGCGAGTTTTGTGCAGGTTGTCACTTCTGTTGCTTTGTGTAAATCTTCCTTGGGATTAGACCCAGGCAATGCATTTTGGCAGCTGGTCTCAAATGTGAGGGCGGCCCTGCTTGAGCCCCATCTCAGTGGGTAGGTGAGGCTGGAGTTCCTGCTGTGGTGGCCTCTCTTCATGTTCTGGTTTGGATATGAAAGGTCCCCAAGAGCTTGTGTGTTGAGGGCTTGGTTTCCATGGCAACAGGATTCAGAGGTAGGACCTTGGGAGGTGATTGGATTTTGAGGGCTCTGGCCTTATTCACAGACTAATCCACCAAGGGATTGATAATTCAATAGATTATTGGGAGGCAGTGGTGGAAGCCTAACCAGAGGAAGCAGGTCCTTGGGGTGTGCCCTTGAAGGCTCTGTTGGCATAAAATAAGCACTTACTATATAATGTCTGCAAATATTGAGGGTGACTGGGCCAGCAAGATAGCTCAGCAGTTAAGGCACCTGCTTAGGGCTGGGGATACAGCTCAGCGGTGTAAGGGCCCACCTGGCAAGTGCAAGGTCCTGAGTTCAATCCTCAGTACTGCAAAAAGAAAACAAACAAACACCTGCTTAGGCAAGTGCACAGTGACTGCAGTTCAGTCCCCAGCACCTCATGCTGCACCAGCCCCGCCCTCGGAGCAGGCTAAGCCGGCCACCAAAAAATAAATGAATAAATAAATGGAGGGTGAGCTCCTTTTATATAAAAAATCCAAAGCATAAAGCGCAAAATAAAAGTAAGTCACAGGAAGCAGGTGATGGATCCTTCTCCAATGGGAAAAAGAGCAAGAGATGGAGGGAGGGTAAAGGACGGGAAAGGGAAAGGCATAAAAATGAATAATTTAGACCCCCACAAGGAATGTAAACGTACTTCAAACATATGCTAAAAAAAAAAAAAAAGGGGCTGGAGAGATAGCTCAGTCGAATAAGCGCATGCCTGGCAAGCACAAGGGGCTGAGTTCAATCCCCAGTTCTACCAAAATAAAAAGAACCCATGACAAGAAGACTAAGATGGGGAGAGAACTAAAGATTAAAAAGAATTAAGATGCATTCTTCCACATACCATGAATGTCATCACTGTGCTGCAGACATACTACCAGAAACACAGTTTAGAGTTGGAAACTTCACCAAGCCTAAGTGGGTCACCATCGCCCTCTTCTAGCGGGGTTGGGGTATCTTAGCCTCAATGCCTCCATTCTGTGGAATCCAAGCCTGCTCCCGGCCCACCCCCAGCCCCTGCAGCAGCTCCTTCCTGGGCTTTGGTGGCATGACCAGAAAGCAGCCCAGTCCCTCCCGATCCCCAGGGGACACACGGAAAGTGCCTGGCACTTGGTGACTGCTCAGGAGACATTAATCCCTGCTTGAGCCAACACTGACACTCCACAGGGGACCCAGCAAGGCTCAGAGTGCCTCTCCTCCCTCATCTCTGAGATGCTCAGGACATACCTGGCAGCCCTAGGACAAGTGCTAGCACCGACCTGGGTGAGAGGAGGCCTCCAGGGAGCCCCTCAGGGCCCAGGCTGCAGGCACGGTCACAGCACAAGTCCCAGGCCAGCTCCTAAGGAGATGGCTGCGCTGGACAGGAAGTCATCTGCTCCTGCCCTTCCCTGTCCCAGAGCACCCATAAACCAGCCACATGCACACCCTTCAGACTTCACAGCTGTTTTTATTATTAATATTATCTTCTCCTTTAAGCATCCCTTTAAGGGTGAAATGAAATCCAACCATTTACAGAGAAAATGATTTCAGAATATACATATCGATTTTCCTTTACAAAAAAAATATTATTATTGGTGTCCTTAAATTATACATTTCCTAGGGCCCTGCCTTCTGCGGGGGAAGTCCCATGTCCCCACGCTGACTCTCCACTGTCCCCAAAGCTCTCCTGTGCCTGCCTCCCGAACTGACGTGACCACGTGTGGCCGAGGCCAGCTGCATGCTGGCACGTAGAGGCCTTCTTGGGGCTACAGGTTCCCAGGAAAGACATCTAGAAACGGTGAGAGGGCATCAGTGAATGTGTTCCAGTGGTTTAGTTTTCTTTTAGGTGTGGGGGTGGCCCCAGCACTACCCCTTCTCAGTGTGGGCTGTGGTTTTGTGGGAAACTCCTCCACCCTGCACCCGGCCTCCCTCTGCCCCCTCACCACTGGTCTGAATCCCCGCAGGCCTGGGCCACTGCCACGTCCTTCCCTGCCTGAGGCCTGCCTGCCACAGCTGCTCAGAGGTCAGCTCCCAACACCGCACCATACCCACGCTGGTCATGTCCTCCAACTATCCTGACCCATCGGGCATCCATTTCCCCAGTGAACCACTCGGAAAAAGCCCCACTGGAGCTGGGGTGTGGGTGGAAGGACAAAGCCGGGTCCCAAAGAGGTTGAGAGGATAGAGGGCTCTCATTTCTGACTGGAAGACACACAGACAGACAGACAGACCCTGCATCCCTTTCATCTTGCTCTCTCGGCTCCCAAGTGGCTTCCGGCCTCAGTCAGCCTGAGGAGCCACAGGATTTGTGGCCAGGCTCTAGGACCTGGGAAAGAGGATACCCGGGCCGGACTCCCACTCCCACACACAGGCATCTATGTACAGGGACACATCAATACAGACATGTACAAATACACACCAAGCATGCACCCATGCCCATAAATATACACGCACGCACAGAAACGGACCATTCCACAGGCAGCCTCCACATACTGGCCTCAAACCTCTGGGGGGATCCAGGGAAGGGTACTCTGTCCTGGTCATACATCTATCACTGCCACATCACTCGGCCCTAGGGAGACGGGAGAGGAGCAGGAGCAGGCTCCTACAACTAAAGCAGTCATTTCTACGCCTCCCCCAGACACTTGCTTGTCACCCTGTTCACTCTCTTCTCCTTCACTGACAGATCTCCCAAGTTGAGGCCCGGCATAAGGCAAGTTTCCCAGGTGCCCCTGCAGCTCTCTTTATGTGATCTTGTGACTGGGTCCCAGTCAATGAAAGGTCATCAGAAGTAATGGTGCCAGTAACAAAAAGGGTGTTTTGCATGTCCTTGCCTTTCTCTGCTCTGAGATGCATGAGTGACAGCAAGACATGGCGCAGCCACTCTGCATCCAGAACTGGAAGATGTGAGCGAAGGAAAGTAGAGCTGCCCTGCTGGGCCCAGACCAGGCCCCGCCAGGCAATTGAATTGGAAACAAGCTTTCGTCTTGCACAAACTTCTGTATTTCACAGTCTCTTACTTAACAGCAGCTTAGAATCTACTCCAACAAATAACATTCCCCACCCACAAGGCAAACTAAGGAATGGATTGACATAGAACTGGCCTTAATGTCCCTTCTTGGGCCTAGGAGAGCCCCGTGGCTCCTTCCTGGCCCCCAGTCAGCCCCAAGGAGTGGCCTAAGTGTGATTCCACCAGGGGTAGCGGTGAGTTTGGGTGGTGGGTGCCAGCTGGAGGGTGTGATGAGGAAGAGGCAGAAAGTTAAAGGGTCACATGTCCATCTTCACCTTCCTATGCCCCAGGCCACACATGCCACCTCTGGATGTCTGTACAGCCTCCAGCACCCACCCTACCCTGAGAACTGGATTCCTAGGGACCCTGCAAGCAGCAGTAGGGCAGGCAGCCCACACGGCAATATAGAGTAAGAAGGAACATCAAGGCCAGGTTTGAAACTGGAAGGGGGAATCCCCAGTTTCAACAGGAGCCTGACAGCCTTGGGCCCTGTCCTCCCAGCTTGCTGATGTGGAGCAGTGGGCAGGGCCTCCTCCTCCTCTGGGCCAGCACTTCTGAGGGGAACAGGCAGTGTCATCCACACCCTCTCTCTGCTGGATGATCCCCTTGCTCCTGTTCCAGAATATTTCTTTATAGAGCTGGACCTGCTGGCATGTTCCCTTCCCCACTGCAGGTCCAGAGCCCCATGATGTCAAAGTGGGCTTCCTGGCACCATTCACAGCCCCATGGGGTGGCCCTGGAGGCTCCCACAGGCTCCTCCCCATCCCTGGGATCCAACATGCTCTCTCCAGTGGCACCTCCTGGCCACAGCACTCCTGGTAGCAAAAGGCTGCATAGATGTCTGGGCTTGCTCCCTTTTCCTGGCAGCAAGGGAGGTGTTTGTTTTGTTTTGTTTAACTGAAAAACCTAACCCTTGAGATGAACAAGGGCTTGAGTAGCGAAAAGCCTACCTACCCAGTCCTGGTCTCTCAAGAACCCCAAGTTGGCAGGAAGAGGCTGAAGGCAACCAGAGGTAGCCACCACCCACCCAGCCAGAGGCTCTAGAGATTCCGCAGGCTCAGCCTTCAACCCCATCCAGCTTGTCTCTGGCTGCTGGTGGCCTGCCCTCTGGGCCCTTATTCCTTTGCCCACCATCCACCACAGTGCTCTTGGGCTCCTGGTAGGGGTTGTCCAGCAGGTAGCGGAACTGGTTGTAGTTCTTGAGTAAGTACTTGGGGGCATACATGTGCTCGCTGGGGTCCGCAGGTGGGTACTCCTGCTGTGTGCCATCAAACCAGCCGCCAGTGCGGATCAAGCTCCGGATGTAATTGAGGTCCCGCTTGTCCTCGTAGTCACCCCAACGGGGAAAGTCACCGTTCTGAGCAGACACCAGCTTGAAATAGATGCCCTCGGGCGTAAAGCACCAGGAGCAATGCCAGCCAGCAAAGTGCAGGGGGCTGCCCAGCGACCACTGCACCAGGATGTGGCCCGTGCGGTTTTCGTACTGGCGGAAGTTGGGCATGGTGTAGTACTGGCGGCGGCGCAGGCGGATGCCATCCAACCCATACACGGCCTGCAGCATGTCCACTGTGCAGCCCGACACCACCTCCAGGGTGCCCGGCTGCTTCCAGAAGAAGCCATAGAGGGACTTGCGCATGTGGAAGGCAAAGGGCTCCGTCCAGCCGTCGTAGAGCTTGAGGAAGAGCACACCGTCGCGCGCGGGTATCTCGTCCGCATCATCGATGATGAAGACGTCGTCCGGCCGCAGGTTGCGCAGCCGGGAGACGCCGTCCTGGGTCAGGAAGGTGCGCAGGTAGTCGTCTGCGATCCAGCCGTCCTGCCGGCCGCCGGGGGGAAAGTGGTCCAGGAAGACGTAGAGCACCTTGTGGCGGATGTACTCGAAGGTGCCGTTGGTTAGCATCTCCCGGAACTTGAGCGGCCGCGGCTCGCCGTAGGCGGTGAAGTTGGACTCGCACACCACGAAGGCGTCCACCACGTCGCCCAGCTCATGGAAGCGCACGTCCAGCAGGTCGAACTCGTGGTTGATGTTGATGGCATTGATGACGCGCCGCGGAACCTCCCTGGGCACCAGGCGCTCCTTGGTGGGCAGGTTGGAGTACTGCACCACGGTGGGCACTCCGCAACTGGGTCCGTGCCAGCCAGGCAGGCACACGCACTCCACCCACTTGCGCCGTGCAGCCCGGTTGCTGCCGGCGCGCTCCCTAGCGCTCAGCACGTGTCGCGGGGGGCGCCGCACGGTACCCCGGGCTCCCAGGGAGCTGTCAGCCCCCTCGGGCTTCTCCTCTGGCCGCCCCAAGGGCGGCTTCTCCAGCATCTTAGTACCTGGTTTGAAGCAGATGCCTCCAGCTTTGGTGCGCACGAAATACTCCGTGGTGTCCTCGGGCAGCACGAAGTCCACCCGGTGGAGCGCCTCTGAGGCCTTGCTGGGTGACAGCGGCTGCAGCAGGGGCGAGTGAGAGTAAAGAGGGGTTCGCAGCAGGTCGGGACCACCCGGCTCGGGGCTGGTCTGGGGTGTGACGGGGGCATTGTTCCAGAAGAAGCTGGACACGAGGTTAGGACTGAGGGAGGCCAGTTCCCGAGGGAAGGTGACGTAAGACAGGGTCTTAAAGAAGTGCAGGAAAGAGATGAGGCAGAGGCCGGCCATACAGAACATGAGGAAGAGCTTGTAGCGTCTCATCTTCATCCTGTGGGAAAGCGATAGCAAAATGTCAGGAACCCTGAGGTACTTCTCCAGGGTTATGCTGCCTGCCTGTAATCCCAGCACTCAGGAGGCTGAGAAAGGATCATCAGGAGTTCGAGGCCAGCCTGAACTAAATAGCAAGACCTTGTCTCAAAAAATAACTCCCAAAATAACTTGAAATTAGAGTTAGGGGTCCAGCGCCTCAGAGCCTTTGCTGCCACCACCTCATCTGAGAAGGTCCTGCATGAAGCCCCCCACTTCCTGCTCCCAAGTTTCCTGGAAGCCCCAGCAGGCACTGCCTCCAGTGCCCCAGCCCTTTCCCCAAAGACTCCCAGCTCCAAGCACTTCTCTAGCCTGAGATCCACCTGGCTGTGCCACCAGCTGCATGGCTACAAGAAAAATGTGTCCTGAGGGCCAGCCAAATAGCTCAGCGGATTAAAGCACCTGCAAGCAGGCACAGGGCCAGGTTCAATCCCAGGCCTGCCATGCCAGCCCCCCTCCAGGGCACGGTGAGACAGCAATTGAGACTGGGCCTGGCGGCCTGTACCTGTAATCTCAGCACTTGGAAGGCTGTCAACTGAAGAATCACTATGAGTCCGATTTAGTAGCGAGACCCTGAACACACTGTAGACCCTTCCCTAAAATACAGAAAGAGGGCTGGAGAGATGGCTCAGTGGTCTAAAGCACCTACTTAGAACAAGCTTAGCAAAAGCATCAGGGACCGCGGTTCGATCCCCCAGCACCACATGCCAGCCAGCCCCGCCCCCTGGTGGGCTGAACTGGCCACACACACACACCTCTCTCTCTCTCTCTCTCTCTCTCTCTCTCTCTCTCTCTCTCTCTCTCAAATAAATAAATAAATAAATAAATAAAATACAGAAAGAAAAAGAAAAATGTGTCCTAGAAAAACTCAATCCAGGGCAGCTCTCCTGCCTTGGGGAGCTTGGAGACCCTTGTGGGTCTATTCCCTGCACGCCAGTTGAGTCAGGGTTCTGTCCTTTTGGGGGACCCACTGATTTTTTTTTTTTTTTTTTTGAGACAGGGTCTTGCAATGCAGTGCAAGCTGGCCTTGAACTCACTTATGCAGCCCTGGCTTGCCTAGAACTCCTGGCAATCCTGCTGCCTCAGCCTCCCAAGTCCTGGGATTATAGGTGTGTGTCACCAAACCCAGCAGCAAACATTCCCAGTGTTTTCACTGGAAAAAAAAAAAAAAAAATGCACACCTTTCCAGAGAACACATTTTAAAAATGAAATGAAGTAAAGTTTCCCCTCCATTAGGCCCTGCTCCACACCAGCCTGAGCTCCAGGCATAAACAATCGGAGGGGCACCCCTGCTTTCCTTGTGCTGCAATCATATCAGACACGAAGTTCATTCACATTGTTTTCCTCAATCAATGACAGATTGCAAAGATATTCCTATCACTGAAAACAAACCTCCCATTTCCTTTTAAATCCCACATCGTAGTACCCCATGGTGATTCTGAATAAATCACTCTTCATGAGTATGTATGATATAGCCATTTCCTATTTGTCTACAAAGTTTATCAATTATTTTATGGCTCTGCAGTGGGAGATACTTGCATATTCTTTTTCTCTGATTGGAATAAACTGTTAATTAGAAAATGTGTGGGCCCAGGGAAATAGCTCAGTAGAATAAGCTCTTGCCTGGCAAACGCAAGGGCCTGAGTTCAATTCCTGGTTCCACCAAAAAAAAAAAACAAAAAACAAAAAAAAGAATATGTGTTATCTGAAGAGTTGCAAGGATAATACAGGATCCCTTGTACCCCCCTCTCAGCTTCCTACCCCCATGCTACATGGGTCGCAAGAAGGAAACGGACGCCAGCAGTCACGGTGAGCCGAACTCCATGCTTTATTGGGATTTTTGCTCTGGAGCATTTTTGGTGCTGGAGCTGGAACTCAGGCCCTGGAAGACGCTGACACTGTACCCCTGGGCCACACCCCAGCCAAGAGTGCACTTACCTTGTGACCAAGTTTGTGTAGGACACAGCACTTCTGATAGGGCAGGTAGGCCTGGTTACACCATCTTACTAACGAGAAAAAAGCTGGCAGGACTGAGTGACATCAGCAATTTCTGGGGTCAAGAAGATGCGCTGGGTCATAAAAGGCTGAGATAAGAAATCTGGTCACTGGCGCCTGGCACCATCCTTCCTCCTAGAACATTCTGTGCTTACATTCTGTACTTCTGTGGCTTGTGCTTCTCTGGGTCATCTGAGTCCCCTCCTGCCACGCTTCCCCTCACCTAGCTGAAGGCACCAGGGGCGAGTGGACACACACTCAGCTTCAAACTGCCATGGTCTTACACACTTTTCTCACCATACAAAATCTGTATCCACATCTGTGACGTGGGTACAAAGTTCCTGGTGTGCTCAGGTGTCAGACGTTGAGGACCATCTCATCCAACAATTTTTTTTTGAGGGGGGGGTGGAACTGGAGATTGAACCCGACCCTTGTGTTTGCCAGGCAAGTGCTTATTCTATTGAGCTATCTCCCTGGCCCCTCATCCAACAATTTGGAGGTGCCACCAGGTCACAGGTGCTTCAGGGACCCATCTGAAGTTGCAAAGCTGTGGGGGGCACTTTTGCTTCTGAGATCCTCATGGGGCCACCGTGGTGAAGAGCGGCAGTGTAAGAGTCAAGTTGCTAATCCTGAGGGACAGGGCTGTGCCCACCTCCTCTAGCGATACCCCACAAGCTGCCCAAAAGTGCTGTCAGCTGACTGCGGGCAGAGGACGCTGGGTGTGGGAGATGGACCTCTGCTAAATGCCAGCTGTCCAGGGCAGAGGTGGGGTGGGTCCTCACCGGATTTGGGGTGCCAGGGCTGCTCCCTGGCGACATTAGGAAGTGGGTCCCCTGGGCTCCTTTCTCTGTGCTAGTAAAGGCCTAGCAAGGTGAGACCAATCAGATCAGGTCAGCAGCATGAACAGATGGGGACTAGGACAGGCTGCACCCCAAGGTCTACATAGGAATCTCCAGAGTGACACCTACTGTGGAAAGGGCAGGGGCTGAGGCTGCCATTCAGACAAAATCCTGGGGGTGGGCTGGTGAGATGGCTCAGTGGTCTAAAGCACCTACTTAGAACAAGCTAAGCTTAGCAAAGCACAGGGACCGCGGTTCAATCCCCCAGCACCACATGCCAGCCAGCCCCGCCCCCTGGTGGGCTGAGCTGGCCACACACAAAAATAAATAAATAAACAAATAAATAAATAATTAAAAAAAAAATCCTGGGGGGCAGGGAGACAGTAAGCCCAAGGCAAGAGCAGTGAGGAATGCCCTGCCTGGTGTGCAGATCTCTGTAGACCTACTGAGGTCAGACTGACCTTGCCACCCCTGGGCTCCCTGGCCAGGCTGGCTTTGTGGGTATCTGTACCCTCCCAAGCACTGGCTCCTCAGTGCCTGGAGCCCCACTGAATCTGGCTTGCTGCTGAGAATCATGGACCCAAACACATAGACCTCCCTGCTCAGGCTCCTGCAGTGGGCTCAAGAGCTCAGGTAAGCCAGCCCAGATTAAGTCACCAGTGCTCCAAAGGCCCCATTTTAGGGGGGCGGGGGATATAGCTCAGTGGCATAAGCACCTACCTGGCAAGTGCAAGGTCCTGAGTTCAATCCCCAGTACCGGGAAAAAAAAAAAAAAAAAGGACCTCATTTTTTTTTGGCTCTTGCACTTACAGACTCGTGTATTATTACTACTATTACTAATATTTTCTTTCTTGTTTTTAGATTTTTTTAAAATTTTATTTTAGGGAAGGTTCTACAGGGTGTTTAGGGTCTCACTACTAGATCTGACTCGTAGTGATCCACCTGTTTATAGCCTCCCAAGACCTGGGATTACAGCCATGTGCCACCATGCCCAGTCTCAATCATTTGTCTCAGCACACCCCAGGGGCAGGGCCGGCACGGCAGGCCCAGGGATTGAACCCCCAGCCCCTGCGTCTGCTTGCAGGCGCTTTAATCTGTTGAGCTATTTGGCCGGCCTTTGTTTTTAGATTTCTGAGACAGGAGTTCACAATGTAGTTCATGCTGGCCTTGAACAAGTGACACATCCTGCCTCAGGCTCCTGAGTCCTGAGATTATGGGAGTGTAGTGCCACACTGGGCTTTGTCTGCTTTTCAAGGTTTATTCTCCTCAGTCAAATTCCTTTTACCTTGGCAAATGCTTCAATACACTCTCTTCCTGAGGCAGCATACAAATAAAATGGAACAAACTGTCACTGACACCCAGGACCCAGTACTGCCTCCCAGCCCCCCAGGGAGGTTTCTGTAACCACTCTGCTTTTACAGATGGGAACACCAAGACCAGAAAAAATGACAAGACTTACCCCAAAGGACAGCATGCCGATGGCTGAGCTAGGACTTGCATATGAGTCTGGTCCCCAAGCCAGTCAGGTGGCCCAGTCGTTTACAAAAGTTACAGAAGCACACTGGGTCCCAGCAGGCAACATCTGCCTCAATAGAGTATCACGGAGAAGCCCTCAGGTTGACAATAACCGCCAGTGGGGCCAGGGAGATAGCTCAGTGGCATAAGCACCAGCCTGGCAAGCCCAAGGTCCTGAGTTTGATCCCTGGTGCCAAAAACAAACAAAGACAATAACCACCAATGACGGTTATAAGTCAGCTGTGTGTTGCATTAGGACCATGAGCTCACAGGAAGCAGGGCCCTCTCACCCATTTTACAGGTGAGAAAACTGAGGCTGGAGGGATGACGTACGTAGCTTACACAATGTCAGGTACACCTACTCAGAATGAGATTTGGTTCCACAAAGGCACTGATGGGACCCCAGCCAGTGGCAATGCTTTCCTGAGCCCCTCCATCTGCCATATTCAATGCATCTGGGATGGCAGGGGCCTCTGAGGAGTCCACCTGTCACCGTAACACTCAGCACAGAAGAGGCACAGTTGTGCTTCTCTTACACAGCACCCCACAGGAGCTCACCCAGCCTGCACTGGTCACCCACTCGGCAAGGGCTTCCTTATTGCCCACTGCATCGGCATCTCGCTGGCCCAGGGGACGCCGGGGGTCAAGCTGACCCTCACCCTTGCCCTCAGGGAGGCTGTGACAAACTAAAACTAAATGAGTCAAACAGTACTTTTGAAAGAGCCCTGCAGCTAGATGTGGCGGCACGTGCCTGGAATCCCAACATTTGGTAGGCTGAGGTAGTCCTAAGGAAAAACAGACAGAGCAAAGGTTCAGTGTAAGCAGGGTGGGAGGGCAGGGCAGGCTTTCCGAGAAGATAACTAACTATGGTGCTTGGTTTGGGAGGTCTAGTGCAGTGGCCACGCGTTACTGCCTAGCATGCCTGTGAGGTGTCCCTGGAGACAGAGGCATCTGTGGTGGACATGAGGGGATCCAGGGCAGAGGAAGGACAGTGCTTCTGTGTCCTTCTGCCTTTGGACAACAGAACTCCGGGCTTTAACTCAGTAACCCTCACTGCTACATCCACGGGTATAGACCACCAGGTTCAAATCCCAGCCCTGCCAACTCCTGCATGGCCTTGAGCAAGTTAATCTCTCCTGTATAGCTCCACTTATCATCAGAGTGAAAGTTGGATAAAGATCCACACAGCACACAATACCCCCAACTGCCCCTTTTGCTATTCTCCAGCCTGGCACAGGAGAGGATGCCCATAGGAACACAAAGCAGCACAAAAGCTCGGAATGGAGCCAGCCAGATAGCTTGACAGATTAAAGAGCCTGCTTAGGGCCAGGGGTTCGATCCCCAGCCTGCCATGCCGCCCCCAGCGTTTGGGAGGCTGAAATCAGGAGGATCACTACAAATCCGATCTGTGTAGTGTGTAGTGAGACCCCGTACTAAATACATATAAAAATAAATACATAAATAAAGGCTCAGAATGGTGCTCTGCTGTCTGGTCTCACAGCAGTTAGGAGCAGCGCCTCAGGCAACACCAAGCCTGGGAGGCAGATACAAGCGGGGGAAAAATCATCACCCCACCCCCACCCCCACCCCCACCCTCCACCCGGCCAGGGCTCCAGGAAGGGAGGACTGGAGGCTCCCTGAGAGGCAACCGCAAAGGACAATGTCCACATCCAGCTAGGTTGTACTCAAGGCCAGGGGCCTGTATATCCTGAGTGGGTGGAGGTGACAGGCACAGGCCAAGTGCTTCCTGGAGACACGATACAGCAGGCAAAGGCTGGGCCAGGGCTGCAGCTACACCTCAGAAGCTGAACTGAGAGATTGTCTCCTCTCTCCCCTTGTCTGGAAAGACAGACTGACAAATAGATGAGAAAAGATGAGGGAAGTGGCTCGCATGGCTATGTCGACAGAGAGGTCCCATGGTGGACTGTCCACTCGCTGAAGAGTCCCGGGTGCCTGTGGGGTGGCTCAGTCCAAAGCCCAGGCATCAAGACCAAGGAAGCTGGTGGTGCAACTCACAGATGCAGGCCAGAGGGCTGAGAACTCGGCGGGGGGTCCCTGGTGTTAAGTCAGGAAGTCCCAAGGCCAGAGAGCTTGGAGTTCTGACATCCAAGGGCAGAGATGTCCCAGCTCCAGGTCACAGGAGAAATGCGCACTTCCTCTGCATTCTTGTATGCTTAGACCCCAGGTGGTTGGATGATTCCTCACCCTGAGGGTGGGTCTTCCCCACCCCCATTCCACCACTCACACCCTGTCATCCAGTGACACTCAGTCACTGAGTGACTTCCCAGATACTCAGAAGTTACACATGGCCCCTGCTCTAGCTGTTCCTCAACCCAGCCAGGGTGACACCTAAAATTGACCATCACAATGACCCAGTCATGACCTCAGAGGCATAGCTCAAGCTGAGTGCAGCCAGGTATGCTCTGGAGACTGTGACTGAGGACTGTGCAAGCCCCAAAACTGGGTGCAATGGCGCACCCCTGTAATCCCAGCACTGGGGAGGCTGAGACAGGAGGATTACTGCAAATCTGATCTGCATACAAGACCCTGTACAAAAAAAAAAAAAAAAGGAAGGAAGGAAAAAGGAAGCAAGGAAAGAAGGTCAGGAGAGAGGCTGTATTGTCACCCAGGAACAAGGCCGAGACAGAATTAGAAATGATATGGTTGGGCTGGGAAGATGGCTCAGTGGAGTAAGCCCTTCCCTGGCAGGCGCACGGACCTGAGTTCAATCCCCGGTTCCACAAAAAAAAAAGAAATGATATGGTTGAAGGTACAGCCCAACCTCCACGCAGGAGGACAGGGAAGGCACTGTGAGGCTGGATCAGGGAAGACACCCGCCAACAGTGATGATCATTCCCCCTTGGCACTAAGGACAGTGGAGAAGCAGACAGCTGTGGTCTGTGCCTTGGGGGCCACGTCTGGCTGGGAGAAGCAGGAATGGCTTCCCTAAGGGGAACGGCCCTGGCAACACCAGAACGGCATGGCTGATTTTCCAGGAAGGGGGAACCAAGAATTAGCAACAGCCAGGAGGCAGGAAGGTGAGGGCCACACAGAGAACAGATGGCAATGACCTCAGAGGCTGGAGGGTGGGGGTAGGGAAGAAAGTACAAATGCCAGGTACATACTCTGGTTTCTCTTCAGATTGTATAAATCTTTCGCCTTTTACAAATGCCAGGTACAGCCGCAGAAAGGAGGTCAGAGGTATCTGGATGGAATTCTTGGGCACTGTACCCTAGTAGCCTCCAGCCTGGACACCCACGACCCAATTTCCTCAGACAAGGGAAACACAGGCTGTCTGCCACAGGTCCCCCTACCCTGGACAACACCTGCCAAGCAACCCCTACTGGGGAAGTCCATGGCGGGTCACCTTAGAAGCTGCCCATAAGTGCCGGCCCCACAATCAGACGAAGTAGTGTTGGTGGGGACTGGCTATCCCTGGCGCACCTTTCTCCCCTTTGCCTTTAAAATATAACTTCATTAGGGGGACTATAAAGCAAATCAGAAAGCAGGCTAAAAGAAATAGGCTCCCTCCTGCCATCGGGACCTGCCCTGGCCTGTGTTCTGGCATCCTGCCTGGCCCCCGCACCTCTGTGCTGGAACGGAGCATCTCTACGGATTTCCTGCCAGCTTCGGGACAACATGCATTTTTCTCTATCAAGCTCTGTCCTTCTCTGCACTAGAGGACAGGAGCCAGAGCCCTGGGGACTTTGCTGTCCTTGCTCCTTCTCGTCCACCCCCAGAACTGACATACGTCTGACAGAGAACACGCCCCAGCTTGGGAACAAGGGAATGGGGCCACCGTATCATGGGAAGGATCCCACACATACACACACACAGCCCTCCCAGGAGACTGTCAGCCTCTCTGAACCACTTTGGGAACTCAATGTTCCTTTGGCAAAATGGGCAGGTTAAGCTGGCCAAGAGGGTCCCACAGCTAGGCCCCCTCTCGGGACCTGGCAGTGACTGTGGGCACTCGCCAGAAGTCCCAGCAGGATGCTGGTCATTCACCCAAAGAATGTGAGCAAGTCGCCCTCCATGCCCCATCACAAGTGCCTAGAGGACCATGGTATCTGTCACTTCCCTCCAGCGGTGGTGGGTTCAGATCACCAGCTTGTGCTCCTGTGTGACTCCAAACCCTCCCACAGCAGCCTTAGGAGAACCTGGTTTCTGGGCCTCTAACCTTGAGGTTTTAATCTGACTAGGGCTTGTCCCAACAGGGTCACTTTACACAGCCATAACCCCCTGCTGAGCTCTCCAACTCTTCCAAGCCATCTCATTGGAAAAAGTAGAGCACAAGTGAAAAGACAGAGTTGTCCCCCAGGTCCCTGCTGTGAGAATGAAGCTTGTGTGGAATGCGGCCTCATCCAGTCTCTGGCTCTAGGGCAGGCGAGTCACGTGTTTCTGATAGACTGACAGAGATAGAGGTACCCAGGTAGTCCTGATAAATAAGTGAATGAATGAATGAATGAATGAATGAATGAATGAATGAGTCCAGCCCCTGCCTGGGACTCATTTTCCACATAATGGGGCCAGCATCATTTTGGCGACATGGCCTGCGGTTCCTGAGATACCCATCACACTAGAGAACTACGCATCTTGTCCCGTTTGTGTCCTAACAATGAGTTATGATCACGGGCCTGGGCAGTAGTCAATGAGGTGTCTTCCTGCTCCTTCGCCTAAGTCAGCCAATCTGTGTCCTTTTGGGAAATGACCCTCCCATCCCCTCCCTACAATCACCAAATATTTAAGAAATCTTTATCAATGCCAGACATAGAACCAGTCCCCAGCACGGGCCCAGCCCTTCCTGTCATTGGCACACACCCCTCACAAACATGGTCCTTCTGGGATGGCCACTACCATTCCCTCACCATGATTCTCCCGGCCCAAGTGCTGCCCTCCAGGTAACAAGAGAACCACCAGCCAGGGCTCTGCAGGGGATCGAGCGCCAGGGTCACAGCTAACCCAGAACTGGCCCCTAGGAAGAGGCAGCACTTCGGTGCACAGTAAAAACTCTGGGAGTTGTGGGAGCAGCATGGTGTGTGAACAACGTAACCAGGAACAGAGGTGGAGCACAGGTGGGGAGCAGGGGTCTCCTAGGGCAGTAGTGAGGCCTTCATGAGCTGGGCAGTAGTTCTTGGAGTCCACAAGTCTTGCAAACTCCAGGGTAGCTCTGTGTGTGTGTAGTATTGGGGTCTCATTAAGTTGCTAAGTTGCCCAGGCTGGCCTTGAACTTGAAATCCTCCAGCCTCAGCCTCCCGTAGGGCTGGATCACAGGTATGCGCCACAACTGGCTTAGAAGAGAATTTTTCAAACCCCAGGTTCCAGCCCTGCTATGGTAGGATGCTGATGCGAAGAGGCTGAGGGCCTGGGGAGTGTGCATGTTCGAGGTTTCCAGAGATAATGGGAAGGAAGGGCCGGGAAGATAGCTCCGTAGAATAAGCACTTGCCTGGCAAGGGCAGAATCCTGAGTTCAATCCCTGGTACCGGGGGGAAAAAAAAAAATTGTGAAGTGAGATAATGGGAAGGAAGGCAGTTGCATGAGGACCAGGAAGCTGGAGGCAGCTGTGTTGGGAGCTCAAAGCTCCAAAAACAGGCCCCCCAGGACCCCTTGGGAAGAGAAGGACTTGGTCTAGTGGCCGAGGAGGCCAGACAGGCAGCCCTGACAGGCTTGGGAATCCCAGAACCAAACCTTCTGACTGTGAGCCCCCAATTCTAAGCATCCCCAAACTGCGGGGGGGGGGGATAAAAATAGCACCCCCACGCAGGATGCAGCGAGGGTCATGCAGTCTCTGGCCCTCACCCAGCACACAGTAGGTGCTCCACAAGCCCAAGCGTGTTACTACAACTTGACTCGGAGGTGGAGGTGGGGAGAAGCACCCTGAAAGCCACCCCTCAGCATCTACAGCCAGAGGCCCAGAGACACGGAGGACATCTCTTCCTAGCTCAGAACGCTGGCTCTGGGCTTGCCAAGCAGGCGCTGCACTGCTCAGCTGTATCCCCAGCCTTAGGCTATTCCTTCTGGAAAGTTCCCAGGCAGCGGGAAGCAGGCCACTGAGGAGATCCATGCATCTGCACAGGCTGCTACCTCCCCTCCTGCCCCTCACCCGTTCACCCCTGGGGATTTCCACTTCGGTGAGAACCAAAGATTGGAGCCAAATAAGCTCTAAGTTGTTTTTGTTTTTGTTGGTTTTTTGGTGGAACCGGGGACTGAACTCAGACCCTTGCACTTGCCAGGGAAGTGTTTATTCTACTGAGCCATCTCCCCGGCCTGGTTTTTTTGTTTTTTGTTTTTTT